GCTTCTAAGAAACTTTTATGCTTTCTTTTCGTCTGCTTCTTTGCCTCGGGAAGTGCTACCTCCTGTACCGGCGACAGCGATTGATCGTTCCCTGAGTCCTGTTGTACAGATAACATCTGTAGAGAAGATTGTTACTTCTGTTCGTCCGAATCGCAATGTACAGCGAGCGAGCAGTGCTGTAAAAGTAAATGCGTCAGTTTTTGGCCTACCTGCTCCTGTTCGTACGACTCCGAATGTGACAGTGGTGAGCAATGCGGTAACAGAAAATGCATCAGTAGTTCGTCTTCTTTTTCTTGTTCGAACATCTACCAGTGTGGCATTGGAAAGGATTGTTGTGGGGAAATGTTTTTGTCGTACTGGGGTTGGAGCAGCGGAACTATTGCAGGCGCTATAATTGGCATAATTATCTTATTTGCCTTCATCATTTCCACCTTATGCCGTCTCTGCTGTCCTTCCTATCCGTACCACCTCTATCGTACAACCGGTACTGTGTTCGTAACCGGCCAACAGCTGCAACAAGAAATGGTCTCAGCACCCATGATGACGACGCAGGAAGTACATCCTCCTCCGCCGATGAACTGCAAGCAGCCTCCTTGGGGTTTAGATCAGGCTCCCCCGCCTTTTCCAGGTTATCCACCGCCACCAAACCAGTGTCCTCCAAGTTCAAGCTGCGCCGATGCCGGCTGCAGTAATTGCTAAACAACTGAACAATTTCTAATGAAACTAACCTGCAAGGTAACTTCTCTAGACAGATCACTGTTCTTGTAAAATAATTTTAAGTATCCTTCCGTTTTTGTTTTCCATCTACATAGATGTAAACGTTAGCGTAATCATGTCGCAAAATTTTATGTGAGCTTTCTAGGATGTTGAGGCGAAGGATAGTTGGAATAAGTCGTTTGACTTCAAAAATTCTAGTTTGATCTGCGCGCTGTTATCTACAAATCTAATACAGTGGAACCCCTCAAAACCGGACACCCTTGGGACCAGAGGAAATGACCGGTTTAGATGGGTGTCCAGTGTACAGAAGCTTTACCCATAAGGCAATTTTACGCAGCATAATGTAATGTCTAACTGTAAGTACGAGTACATGGTACACGAGCATTATTAAAGCACATCTATAAAGGAGCTAACAACGTGGATCGTAAGGAAGCTTTTCAACGTCATTTTATTTAATCTTCAAAAAAATTTAGTATTACACACAGGGTAATATGATCGCCGCTTTTAATTCATTTGTAGACTTCTCTCTTCTTTAAATTATCACCTACAGTTCATTTACTGATCCCGAATTTACCGCTTCGAGCCTTCAGTGTTGGTTTAGGCACTGATTCCGCGCATTTGACCTACTCAATTCTCTCCTCTAACAATAACTCGATTCTTTGGCGTTTCGCTGGTCTCTCAGACGTAGTGATGTTTGCTAGTTCGTTTGTTTTTGCAAGTGATTTCACCCGCAACGTGACAGTCTCTTAAAATGACCCCTATTGCTGTCTTTCATTCAACCGAAAAACAGCGGCACGACTGTCGACTTTAGTTTTTTTGCCTCAGTATCGATAGAACAATGAATAATTAGCGGACGCGCGTGTCTCATTTCTGATTGGGATTTCACGGCTGCATGATTACGATTTTAGTTTTAATCAAATCTTAAAACGCGTGGTTTGATTTTGGCGGCAAACTTAAATCTTTCACGTCCGGTTTAATGAGGTCAATTTCTTTGTCAGTATGTGATTACCGACTAAAAAAGCGTCCGGTTTGCGGAAGTGAGGTGCTACGGTTATTGAGATTAAGAATAAAGAAAATGTATGACAGAGATTTTGGGGCCGAAAAAAAGGTCCGGTATAGAGAGGATTCCGGTTTAATGAGGGTGCGGTTTAAAGGTGTTCCACTCTATTCCATTTCGCCTTCATGGGAAAGTGGAAAGGATTTTTTTCCGAGATGGATGAGTTAAGAAAGAATATTAAATGTATTTCTTTTAAATGTAGTTTTAATAAGAATGATCAGTAAGGCGAAACTGGAAAGAAAACAAATAAGCAAACAGGGAGAGCTGGATCTCCATAATTAACGAGAATGAGTCTATTTTTTTTTTTAGCCGCAAGAAAACGAAATAAATGTTTTTCATTTAATATAATTGTTTTGGCTTTCGCAAATTTTAATTTTGTTGTTTTGTGAAAGAAATTTAACCTTAGACTCTTCCATCCTCTCCACCAGACACAATAAGAATCTAACCCAATCACAGCTACATCGTTCGCTCTTTCTTGGTCTCAACAGTTTCCTTCTAACTCATGGCAGCTCAGCTTGTGAAACCTCGCATCTTAAAATTTGAATAAAGGAGTGTCCCTTTCACACAGACTATCCCCGTATGAACCATACATATATAGTCTATTAGGGCAACATCAAACCCACCCCTCCCCACTCAACGTTAAGTCCTAGAGGCCCAAAGTCAAACGCCACACCATGCAGGATTTCAATTAAATCCTATAGGTTCGTTATCTGTGTATTTCTTGCCGCTTGTTCACACCCTTGCTGGAACGTAGATTGTTCTTTGTAAATAAAATCTAAAATGAGACAGGCGTAAATAAAACCACTCAGAAGGAATTACTCTTACAAAAGCTGCCTTTAGTTAAATTAGCTTAAGTTGTGAAAAAAAAGCTTTACCTTTCAAACTTTACAGGAGATAAAATACAACATGACTAACACGTTGCCATAATACAAAAAAATGCATTGATGATTTAATAAGAAACAAGTTTCGCTGAGGTTATCGGAGATCAGTATTGACGAATGGCTATGTTTTCCTTCAATGACGACAGGCATTGTTTTCTATTTTATGTCAAGCAACGCCGAAATGATTATATAACATAACCGAGGTAAATCGTGCGCTCTGATTGGTCAATTTAGCGTCCCCCATTTGCCCATGGGTGTACGCTGCTGACGTGAGCAAATGCAAAGACTATTTTTCCGCGCGCGTAAGATTTGTCAAATAAAAGGGAACTCTTTAGCTACAATGTATCAATGTTATGTTATAAAACAAATAGTAAACACCACAGGGTACACTATTGAGTTATGGATGCACACGGGAGGTTGCTAAGCACGAAAGAAGCGTAAGAGTCGCTCGAGGCGATAGCCGAGAGCGACTCTAGCTTCTTGAGAGGTTACGTTAGCAACAGTTCGATCGAAATCCAACCATACTGACCGTCAAAGACTGTTAGGTTCCAACACAAAAACACGAGCGTGTTCCACCGGTTAATAAAGGGACGCGAGGAAACTGCAGTGAAGCAACCACAGGTCTAACAAAATCAGGCTGGTCCGTTTATTTAAGGCATGATAGACGATAACTTGATAAACACGACCTATAGGTTACGTTAGCAACAGTTCGATCGAAATCCAACCATACTGGTCGTCAAAGACTGTTAGGTTCCAACACAAAAACACGAGCGTGTTCCTCCGTGAATTCTAGCTACATAAAGATTTTTTAGTCGCCGTACTCAAGCGGTTTAGAGTTTATGTGCGAATCCAAAATACCCGTATAAAGCGATCACGCGAAGGAACGAAACTAAAGCTGAGGAAGTGTCAAACCCCAACTGCGGGTTTTAGACTGCGGCCAATTCGCAGCCATTTTTGCTTGGATTTCTATGGTACGCAAACAGCAGATTTCCCTTCTAACCTTATTGACAAGGAATGTTTCAATGTTGCGCACTAGCAATCAAACTTTTTGTGTACAGTAGAGTTGTAACTCACTTAAAACACCCCTCAAACAAAGACTGAAAATCATCAAGAACGTCTTGAAATTTTTTCGTTCGAGAATTAAGAAAAAAGTAATTCTTATTGCATCAATTTTCGACTTAATTTTTGATTTTACGATATGTGTGCCATTTTTCCAAAAATAAGGTCGGAAAGTAACATGAGACACAGTACTTGCACTGTAAGTATCCCAGAGAGATTCATATAATTCCTTATAATAAAATTCGAAGGAATTGTATGGAGCTTTTTTTAGCGTTAGTCGTGGCGCGGCGGGTGTTTTTTCATTAGGAGGCCAAGCTCTCCCAGTTCGTTCTTATTCCGTTTTAGATAACTAATAGTTCTTATCTAAATTTCCTAACAAGTGCTGACAGAATTGTGTCCAGTCTTATTTATTCTTGTAATGGATGAATACCAAAACGAAACTAGTTAATTCAGAGCGATTTTGAGTTACGGTATAGTCAGGAAAGAACGCTTTCGAATTAGGATTATGTCACGGGAACATGGAAACTCAGAGGTTGGAGCCTATCTGAGATTTAGAGTTTTACAAAGCCATTTGCTTACCTTCAATTCTATGGAAAATTATGTCAGGAGTTAGGACCATATTCATTTAACAAACACCTAAAAGGTTGAATTCTGAGTGACTGAAGCGTTTCTCCTTAAATCGTAAAGGTTATTTGGTATTCAACATGCTTTATCAACGTCTTATAAACATCAACACAGCCGGCTAAAATAGGATTATGGTAATTACATCACGCGAACTCTATGAAGATGATTGTAAAATTTTGCAGTTTTCTTTGCATTTTAGTTCCTCACAAGCATACCTGCAACCGTTGAAAGCCCTGCCAACTCAACTTGGCCGCTGTTGAGTAAAACATCTTAGTTTGTCTTTATCTGCAATAGGCAGGTGTGGGGCTTACAAAGCCCTACAAGATAGTGTCTGCATTTGCAAAATCATCGATATAGCAAAACAAAATCAGAACTTTAACCGCTTTGTATTCGCTGATTAAAGTCTGTTTCGTCAACTTTCATCGGAGAAAAGCGAACACGACAAAAACATGGAATTTTAATACTGAAAGCCAAAGTAACCGTATAGAAATGTTTCCACCTGCTTGGTCTTGAAATGTCTCGTCAGTTTAGTTTCAAGCAAACAACTCAAACTCCAATTTCTCAATAAATAGCTCAGATGAAACTTTACAAGAACAAAGCAAAAGTTCAAAATTCACTTGCGAACTGGTCACCGGAATATCAAACGGAACGTTGGACACGGCGGCGGATTAAAAAAAAATTATTATTCACAAAATTGAGACAACACACAAATGTAAATACAACTCGACATCGATACAGCATATGATGTCGATGGATCTGCTAAAGATCCGATCAGCTAAAAGAAGAATATCAAAAGGTAACAAATCTCCCTGAAGAGGAATGAGCCAGATCCTACTGGTGTCTGTAAATGTGTTAGCGGCCAAATTACAATAACAGAAAACCGAGCTAATAACACAGATTTTTAACCTGTGTAAATATGTTATTGAGATTACCATTTTACTGCTATTCGACACGATCACATTTCACAATCAAGCCGAATGGAAGCATGGACTGGGTTAAATACGGCCAGATCGGTTTAATACGACACTGAAAGTGAGACTACACTTTTAAGAATGCATTAATCATTCTAGAATATAAATATTGTTGCTAATAGCCGAACCCATCTATATCCTACAAAAATCCTGTCTACAGGAAACGTATGTCTACTTTTTGCTTGTCTTTGAACGACGATAGTGAGATGAAATACAGCGTGCAAATCAATCAAGAATCTTTAGTAAGACCTCGTCTACATCTTTATAAATGGAAATAAAAACCGAAGGTTACTCAAATCACTGGAACATTATTCTAATTGAATGAGTTAGCTTGCACTAGTTTACATTAGCTATAACTTGTTCGGTTGTTCAGTGTTAAATGCAGCCGGCAACGGTGCCGCTTGACCTTGTCCTGGCGGTACAGGATATTAGCTTGGTGGCGGTGGGTAGCTTGGATAAGACGGAGGAGCCTGATTGAAACCTGGAGGAGGCGGATTGTAACCCGGAGGAGGCTGGTTGTAGTTCATCGGCGGAGGAGGATGTGCTTGCTGCGTTGTCATCATGTGTGTTTGAGTTGAGACGAGCTGTTGTTGCGGCTGTTGGGTGACAACCACAGCACCAGGTGTACGATAGCGGTAGTACGGACAGCAAGCACAGCAGAGGCAGGATACGATGGAGATGATGATGGCGAGGAAGATAATTGTACCGATTGCAGCGCCTGCAATAGCTCCGCCGCTCCAACTACAGTACGAAGAACACACTCCCCTACAACAATCCTCTCCAGTGCCACACTGGTAATCGGACGAACAAGAACAAGAAGACCAGTTGTCGATGCATTTGCTATCATATTTACAGCACTTCTCGCCGCTGTCACATTCAGAGTCGAACGAACAGGAACAAGAAAGAAAACTACTGGTGCATTTGCTGTTGCAGCATTGCCTGCTCGATCCACACTGGAAGTCGTACGAACAGGAGCAAGTAGACGAATCACTAATGCATTTGCTATTACAGCACTGCTCGCTCGTTCCACACTGGTAGTCATACGAACAGAAGTAACATCTTTCTCTGCAGACTTTATCCGTACAACAGGACTCACTGTAGGAACAATCACTGTCGCTCGTACAGGATGTAGCAGTTACCGAGGCAAAGAAACATACGAAAATAAAGCATAAAAGTTCTTTAGAAGCCATTGTCCTCCTCGCAATTTCGGTTGCGTCTGTTCGATGGAAGATAATAATTAGATGCAGTTGATTGGTTTCCAAATCTTTCTATCATGACATTTTACCAAATTAGGTCATGAGAACACACAAAACGTACCACGGTATTATATTGTAGAACAGGACAATTATACGGAGGAACAAAGTGGCTGCACTGAACGATCCAGACTTTTTTTCCTGTTTTTGTGTTTTAGGTTTGACTTAAGGAAGCTAATTTTTGTGCTCGACAGGATTTTGTTCTGGTCATAAAGATCGTTCGTATTTTTTTTCGTTTACTCGCATACTCCTTATGCGATTGATACGATGTACAGATAAGGCCGTAGCATGTATTTTACATACTAAAATCAAAATACTAAAAGTAAAATAAAAGTATAATAATAAATCTCTTATTCCGTGGTCCAACATATTATACGAGCGGATATTATAAGCGGATATTTTGCTTATATTTGCTAGTATTGTTCCTCGTTCTCGCCGCTGGAGGTCGAAAAAATACTACACAAATCGTAAGATATCTGCGTGCATTGTATGTCAAACCTCGGATAAGGCTTAAAATGTTTTATAAATAATCTTATTGTTTAGTACCTTCAAGTAAGGCCAGAGCTTGTTTTAAAAAAAGGCCCAATGCAGATAGATAATTAGGCATCTAACCCCATAAAGCGAATGTACATATAAACTGAATATCTTCCACATGTACTTCTCTTGCGATGTAAAAACTCGTCGATATTTGCGTGTTTGATTGTGTGTGGGATTCGACTGAGAAACAAATGATAAATTCAAATATCTAGGTCCAATTTTAATAACAACAAGACCTACGACGAAAAGCTAAAGGGAATAGAAACTAACTTACAATTTGTGGTGCAACCTAGTTCGATAGTAAAAACTCTTAACAAAGTTCTCCACGGCGCCAGGAAAAACTAACGAAACATTTGACTCAGTGGAAATCAACTTGCAATCATGAAAGTTTGTCGCTACGAAAACAAAGCACATACTAGCGAAAATATATAGATACCGGCAATACGTAATTCTTGATTACATAACCTCGCGTAAAAACGCAACTTAATTAAATAGAAGATTACAATAGTACTACAGTGAAAAGAAAAAACAATAAAATTAACAAATGGTAAACACCACAGCGTACACTATTGAGTTATGGATGCACACGGGAGGTTGCTAACCACGAAAGAAGCGTAAGAGTCGCTCGAGGCGATAGCCGAGAGCGACTCTAGCTTCTTGAGTTAACTCTAACTTCTTGAGTTGACTCTAACTTCTTGACTTAATTAAATAGAAGATTACAATAGTACTACAGTGAAAAGAAAAAACAATAAAATTAACAAATGGTAAACACCACAGCGTACACTATTGAGTTATGGATGCACACGGGAGGTTGCTAACCACGAAAGAAGCGTAAGAGTCGCTCGAGGCGATAGCCGAGAGCGACTCTAGCTTCTTTCGTGCTTAGCAACCTCCCGTGTGCATCCATAACTCAATAGTGTACGCTGTGGTGTTTACCATTTGTTAATTTTATTGTTTTTTCTTTTCACTGTAGTACTATTGTAATCTTCTATTTAATTAAGT